AGATTGAGGATGGGGTAGTCAAAGTTAAGGATAGGGATAGTTGAGGCTAAAGTTGAGGGGAAGGGCAGTTGAGGGTGGGGGCAGTTGAGATTTCAGATATGGTTGTTATTATTGAGAGTGGGTGTTTTCAAAGTTCAGGATGGGGTCGTCAAGATTGAGGTTGGGATGTAGTTGATGTGAGGGGTGGGGTTTTGAGAATGAGTGGGGGGATAGATGAGGGCTAAAGAGTCAATGTGAATGAAAATGAATTCTTTGGAAATGAAGTTGGGGAAAAGAGTCAAAGGCAAGGGTGGTACATGTACCTCTAGTCATTGAGGTTGAGGATGGAAATAGATTAGGTTTAGGGTAGGTTTGGGTTTGAATTCACATCAAAGGCTCAGAATTCAGGATGAGAGTGGAATGGGGGAGGTTAAGGCACTGGCGAGAGAAGGGGGAGGCAGGGAAACAACTGGCTCTCCCCCACCTTTCGACTTGGGGGTAATCCCCCCGCCCCCACTTAGGGCAAGTCTTCTAATGGCTGATGCCTGGTGGTCTCACAAATGCCCCCCCCTTTGAAAATCATTCTGGTGCTGGTTGCTTAAGGTCAGTAAACTGGCAGAAAGCCCATGCCTCCTATCCCAAAATAATCCTTCATGGATTTCTAGATTTAGGAATGAAATTCTAATCCTGCAGGCACATTTAAGGAATGATGCTTCTCAAACAGGGGTAGATCATTTTGAAGGACAAACTTTAAGTTAAAGGACAATTGAGATTGAATGATACAAAGTTGGACTTTTTGTAAGTGTGGGAAATGAATCCAAATCACAAATTTGTTAACTCTAGCTTTGTCAAGAAACGCAAATCAATGTATACACTAAGAGAATAAGAATGCTTATTCTCTGGTGCAGTTGTTACTCAAACAGCAAATCCAATATGATGATTTGCTACTTTTGTTTGGTATGCCTGAGAGGTTTTGTTGATTTTTCCTCAGTTTGGAACTTGGTTTCATTTTCAGTACTTTGATCTCGATCTCAGTCACACAAAGTCACTCTGGCTGAATCTGGGACAGTTTATGCCAACAAAACCCCTGTGGTTTACGTGGTTCTCCTTTGTTGTTTGGCTGTTTCATTATTGTTAACAAGGACAGGTTACTGTTGACATTAAGGTAATTACTTGTTTTTGAGGTTTCTCTTTTCATTTGTTTAAAAGCAAATGGACTCTGTAATTTGTAGAGCCAGTTGCATTTCACTTGCATCACTTATGAATTTGGATCAAAGTTTCTATTGACATTAAAGCCACTATTTGTAATTTCAAATTTTGACCTGTGATGCAGTTGTGAGTTGTCTAAAGTCATTCAGGACTCCTATCCATGGATTACAGTTCATGAAAGTCTGTATTTAAGAGATTGACCAGGACTAAAAATTACATTCCACCAGAAATCCTGGTATACGCTTCTTGTTTAATGAGGCTAGCTTTCCTGCCATATCAATCTCTTTGTTTGTGCATGTGCACTGGGTATATTTGCATGTGCCTGCATTCATTTACATTGGATAAATAACCATCACTGGGTCCTTTTATTGCCTTTCTGTGAAGAGAAGGACTTTCTCGCATAACGTGTGTTCTGATGTTAGGGAAAGAACTTGGAGGCTTTCCAAAACCCACCGCGTCCTTGTCAGGAAGGAGGGGTTGTTTATACACGTAGCTAAAGTATGCATTAAAAATTCACATGTGCTCTAGAGGCTAGTCTAATGTACCATGAAATTACCAAAAAAGCAATGTACATGTAGATGATTAATTACTCTTTCACAGGGACCCCGGGGGCTTTCGAGGAGCTTGAAAATCAACATCCAACTTGGAAGTTAATTATCACTTCTTTTTTTTTTTTGAGTTGTTGAAATAAAGAAAAAATTGGGGCTTTTTTAGTCAAATGGCAACACCAGCAAAGTTACTTCTCCTTATTTAATTGCTCTTTCTGTCTATTTTGCACTGCTGGTTATAAATAATCTAAATTTCTAACACAAAAAAGTCTAAAAATGCAGTTATGAATATCAGATTTAGAGATGGTTTTTTCAATGAATTTTAAAATTGTGGACCGGTACTGTGACTGCTTGTTCCTGTTTATGAAATACTCATAAAATGGAAGAAAAAGTGGTGATAAATCTGATATCCAGGTGCTTATCCAGGTGCTTATCCCTTACTTAGACAAAGAACCCCAAACATTCATGGAAGAATTCCATTAGGAAAATAACAGTGAAAGTAAGTTGACATGTATGGTTTACTTTGATCAAAATGTGTTGGCTGTTGATATCAAGCATATCATTGATGACGTTTTTAGCAAGTGTCCCCAAAGTACAGAGTTGGTTACTTAACTGCTTTGTGCTGGAGGATGTGTAAACACGATCAGGCCGTCTGTTTACACAGGTACAGCTGACAGGTTAACCATTTGCTGCTGGGGAGCCCGGTTTTAGGCACATAGGCTTTATACACTAAGCCGGGAAGCCCGAAAACAGACAAAAGAGCTGGGCCTTGTAAAAAAGACCGTACTCGGAACAAAAGACTGAGCTGCTGGGAATTGCCAACATTTTTTTCAGTTGTCAATTGCAGAGAAAATCTGTCATTGTTTTGAAAAATTGTATCACTGTTTGTGGCATTCATTGAACTTGAACTGGGCTTTTATGTAGAGCCAGTTACGGTAGCAAATATCGCCTAGAAATTACAATAAGAATCATCAAACAGATATAGTTCAGGTGACTCAAATGGCTTTAGAATTCAGTTTGTGTTGTTTGGCAGTATATATCAAAAGTCATGCACTAAATCATGCCTTTTTTCGAAAACCCAAGTTTTGGGCAAAAATAATACTGTCCCACATGTGGTCCGGTTACATCTGTACATTTGCAGTCAATACAACGCCGTGAACATGGAATACAGTCCCACATTTGGTGAAAGCAATAAATGTACCAGCTACAAGTGTTAAAAGCTACCAGCATGTCTGTAAAAGGCTCATCTTATTCAAATCGAGCTCCATCACAAATGGAACCTTGTCCATATCATATTACCTCACCAGATAAAAAGTCAATTTGAATCTCACCCGGAAACCAATTTAGGGATAGATGGCCCCCAGGAGTTCTTTGCACACTCATGGTTGAAACCATTTCGCCTGCTAGCCACGAAGAGCTCTACCATAATGAAATAAGTATTTGGCCAGCGTGTCAAAGAAGACAAATGTGACAGGGTTCAGTCTAATGACATTTATGCTGGAAATGTCAGAATCAAAAATATTTTTGCTATATACTTTTCACAGATTATCAAAATAGATAAATATACATGAAATCAATATCTTAGTGGCGGTCCTCTGATAAGCGTACAAGTTACTAAGAAATAAATGCATATGTACAGAAAAATGGCAGGTGATGCACCACAAGTAAAGGTGATGTAAAAAAGACTAAGCATTGTATGATTAGATGAGCTTTTGAAGCTTTTCACAGTAAAGGTAGCAAGTTTGTTGTAGCGGTTTGTGGTAACACCATGCAAGGATGTCTCTTTTAATAGTATGTGTGGTTCTGAAAGATTACATTAAACAAAAAGTAGACAGATACAGTATTTGTAGACTTTGGCTTGAGTAGCAATTCTGTACACACTTTGCTCAAATTTCATAGTAGCAAACTACAGTTTGTGAATAAATCAATGAAAAATTAAATTTTTACCACCTTGCAAAATTGGAAATCAGTGCATTATTGGCTCTAGCTATGGACATCAGCTTTGATACATCATTTGCACATGGGTAATTCCAGAAATTAGGGGTCCAAAAGGATGACATTTTGGTGTCCCTGTTACATCTGACCTTTGTTATTTGACATGTAAATGTTGCCGGAATTGATTTCAAAGAATTACTATTTGTATGGCAGATAATTTGCGTTAATTATCACTCTTGGAAAGTAGAAAATGGGTTCTGAACTTACAAAATCATATATCAGATGTGACAGGAACACGAAAAAAAATGGACCCCTAATTTCTGGAATTACCCACATGTGTGGCTAATAGTCAATCGATTTATGATGTTCCAACACTTGTCTTAATTAACAATCACTGTCTCTGCTTATTTTGTTCAGAATTATAAAGCAGTGGTTAGTCCTATCATCGATGTCATCAACATGGACAATTTCCAGTACGTGGCAGCATCAGCCGACTTGAAGGGTGGATTTGACTGGAATCTTGTTTTCAAATGGGATTACATGACGCCCACGGAGAGGGCTAGTCGAAGATCCAATCCCATTGCACCAATAAGGTGGGTTCAATAATAAGCCACACCTAAAAGTGCTTTACCTTCTCCAAAATTTGGCGAAGAATGTTGTAGTTTAAATAAACGACATGTAAATATTAGAGGAATAATGGACTTGTAAATTGCCATAAGAATGTTACATTTGTATGGTGTAATAGCAATTTATGACAGTGTAACAAATTATAACATTAAATTTTTAAATGACATTTAAAGTGACTCCCTTTCAAAAAAGATCAGTACTAAGCATTGCTCATTGTTAATATGATGAGTCACGAAAAGGACAGGAGCATGTTGATCCCTTTGTCAGGCTTGCAGGATTTGTCTCATGAATTCCCCCCCCCCCCGGTGTTGATTCATACCTTTTTCTTTGTGTTTCAGGACTCCTATGATAGCTGGGGGACTGTTTGCAATCTCCAAACAGTGGTTTGAGGAGTCAGGAAAATATGACATGATGATGGATGTATGGGGTGGAGAAAATTTAGGTAGGTCTTTTGGTTATTCCCTGATCAGAAGGATTTGCTGCCTAAAGTCATATGTAAGATTTTATCCTTTGTTTCACCTTTTCTGAAATCTGCCTGGTTGTTGAGAAATATTGTAGAAATATTTCTAACTGAAAATTTTTGCCCTTAAAACACCAAAACTTCTAACATTTAAAAAGTAAAACAGAAAAAAACAACTTTGATGGAGTGTTTTTTAAACCCAAGTGCCTAAAGTATGCACTTTTAACTCATTTTCCAAAGATTTCCTGATTTAAAACAAGTTTCCAAAACAGGCATAAATTAGAATGAAACATCAGCCATTCCAAGTGGCATCTTGAGTCTGTAAATGCAGTGTTTTGTGTTTGTATAATAAGTCACAAATGTCAGATCTTGCTTAATGCAAGAAAAACATGTCTGATGGTTGTCCAGACACAAACATTCAGGATGAGTTAAAATAACATGTTTTTTCCATGTACTCCTTCAAATGTGTAGCAAAAAAAGTTCAATTTGTCATTAAGATATGTAGCCAGTCCAAATGCCCACTTACATGTGTGAGGGTGTTCTAGAAAGCTACATGCAGATACCTTAAATCCTTTGAAGGAAGGCGGTCAACATTTATGGAGTTTGCAATGTAAACTCTTTACAAATTCCACTGACTGTTCTGATTCTGTCATCAGCGATGCTCTCCGACTTGATCCTCGGGAATAAGGTCCTGCTCTCTTGTCTCTCCCGTCGACCTAAAAAAAAATCCAGCGCTGAAAGGAAAGCTCTATCTCTCTCAGTGTTCACACAGTGTAACAATCTGTTCCTTCAGCCTCTCCATCCAAGAGGTCGTTTAATCACATCAGCCACATGATAATGTAATTTTATCCTAATCAAATTACTGTATTCATTTGTCGTTGTTTCTTCTTTTCCCCTCTCCTCTCCCCCTGTTGTTTGCCGGACAGAAATCTCGTTTCGGGTCTGGCAGTGTGGGGGGACGTTGGAAATCATCCCTTGTAGCCGGGTTGGCCATGTGTTCCGCAAGCAGCATCCTTATACATTCCCTGGAGGGAGCGGTAATGTGTTTGCAAGGTAAAAAGGCAGTAAGGTTTTATTATCATGGTAACGTGAATCACGGAATTCGTGAATTGCTACATCAGTAACCTGTCAACCCGAACCATTTTTGGGGTACATTCTTTTAGAAAAATAGTGTTTTTGTATTTATTTAGAAAATGGTAATAAGTACTATTATTTTAATAATCAATTGAAAAACTTACTAGAAGGAAATTGTCATTGTAATTTGTGATGCTTGTGTTTCAAAAATGAAATTGTTACTCATCCAAATGCCTTGTGCAATGTAAACGACATGTAGGAGTCAATGTGTACAGATGTTGTACATGTGTGGCTTAGTGTGTAGACATGCAGTTCTTCGTTGGATTGATGGTGTCAAAACAAGCCCATCCGGGCTTAAACTTTTAAATCCAGGAATTTTGGTGGTTTGTTCCAAAGTTTGTCTCAAAACCTGTTCCACAACTGCTGCTTATGAACCTTACTTGATCGCAAGTGCAGTGACCCCACTCGTTCCCATGTCAAACCAATAACCAAACAACCTATGCCAAAATGTTTTTGTAGGCCAAGGATGATGTCTCTGCCATCTGTAGTGCTAGTGGTGTGTCACTGCTTGCTTTCAAATTGCACCCTATGGACACTTTTTCTCGCAGTAATCTGTGAATGCCCTTTGGGTACTTGGAAAAAAGTTTCTCAGAGATTTGCTTCATTTGAAAACTTGAGGCCTTTGCCTACGTGTTCATTTACCTGTAGATGTGTGTGATTATATTTTGTTGAATATTTTGTGAAGCTGATATGCTTTCGTAGTTTCTTTCTCTTACTCAAAGCAGTGGATTATCATTACCACAGTGGTAACAATCCAGAACAGTGCTGTTATCACAAAGGATTCCTGAGTGCCATTATATGTGCTGATTCAAGCTCGGGTGCTTTCTTTTGATGCTGATGCATCCAAAATTTGTGCTCATTCAAATGAAAATAACTTTTTTGCACTGCTCTGTACATTTGCATGCTAGTGCTGGTGTGCAGTCTTTCATTGGCTCTTTTAGGTAGGCCTCAGAATGCCATTTGTGGTTTTTCGAACACAGTCCAAACTGCATGTGATTCTAGAGGCTGTAAAATAAAATAGTAAAAATATAAAAAAAATTAAATTAACAGGTTTTCTTGGTTGGATTCGAACCTCCCCACCAGTGCATGTATTAAACTGAATTAACCACCCAGCAAATTCTACACTGCCGGAAATCATTTTCTCATGTTTCTCATTCTTGTTTCAAACGAAAACCTTTGTGTCTCACTCCTTCCAAAAAAAATTCACAAATTGATAAAGAGCTGTTTCTTGAAATCGCTCCCTTTTTTTCAGTATTCTGATGCAGCACCAGCAGGTGCTCCTATCAGCGATATCTGCACGATCTCCCACTGTGTACCTTATCCTTCAATTTGTGGTGTATTTTGAGCAAGGTTTTCAGTGGGAGTGCCTGATTGCAATTTGTTATCCTTGCATTTACTAACATAATAAAAAATAATCAGTGCTGAAGACTGAACAGCAACATCGCTAGAACCTCTCATGAATTAACAAGCATCCTTCCTTGCATTTTATTTTGGCATTGATTGCAATGTCTTGTACATGGCTTGGCACCAAATGAAATATTCACTCAAACTTGTAGAGATGACTTTATGTATTGTGATTGAACATTATTTTATTTATATACATGTAGCCTATGTTTTAACTACCTTGGTTTTGGCTTTGGTTTTGATGTAACTCTCTGTAACAAAATGTTTTTAAGAAATTTTACTTTGATTGGATTATTTTGTTAATAGTTTCTGGAAAGTGCCGTGAACATTTTTTTAAATGGATTTGGCGCTATATAAGATTATTAATATTATTGTTATTCAAGACTTGGTTCGTGTATTGCTGAACGGTAAATGAAGACTAGAGGCTATGCATGTTGGAAGTACACTTCATAAGAGAAACAATTAGTGTGATTGTAGGTGATTCTTTTCAGAATCACATGCACTCATGAAAGACAATTGTTCACATGCTGCTATTGCAGACCTTCTTGTACTATCATTATTACCTATGGAAAGTTGATTTAATTTCTTTTACTTGAACAGAAACTTTTTGGTAAAAACAATGAGAGCTCTTGTTGATTTTTTTTTAATGGCTTACAACTCAAAAAAGATGCCTTAGCACCTGAACGTGCTAGATTGGATCATAGTGAAGCCGTGTTAGTCATCCTTGTTTTTCTCTCCCAAGTTCCTCTTAACAACTTCAGCATGTTCATTTCTTTGGTTTTGACTATTTCCAGGAACACAAAACGAGCAGCAGAGGTTTGGATGGATGAGTATAAACAGTTTTATTATGCCGCCGTGCCTTCAGCCAGAAACGTGCCCTATGGAAGGTACACATCTAGTAGTTTTTACCCTCTTCTGTTCCCTTCCTCTTTCGATTTCCAGAAACCAGAAAAAAAATCCAGGAAGTGCCAGGAACTTCAGGACTGTAAATGTTAAATGTCATGAAAGGGAAACACTCTGTCCCAAGAAAGAATTTGACATTTTGGAACGGTTCCAAGTGAATCATTTCCTAACTCATCCCTCTTTTAAAGAGTCTATTTTGAAAATTCAAGAGGCAGGCCTCTCAGTGAAATTGGAAATCGGTTGTCACTTCAAAAAGAGTCACCTTGCTAAGTCAGTTCTGATTTCTAATTCTGTTTATCTGTTATTCTTGCTACTGTCTGTCAAACCAATTAAAGAAGATTAGAAACTTCACAGCCTCTTCATGGTTAATGAATTTTTATCCTTCCAATTATTGAACAAAATTGTGGTTTTTGTCTCTCCATATTAATTCATTCCGAATTGTGTCCTCATTTTGGTCTAATTGTTCAGCTTAACTTAAAATACAAAACATGGTTTTGAAAGTTATGTGGATTTTTTCCCTTGAGCACAGATGCTGAACATGCAACCATTAAAATCCCTTTATTCAACCTGAAGAGTTGGGTGGCTACCTTATTAAGGTTTTGATTTGAAACACTTGGTGCAGCTTGTGGAAGTTGTTGCTAAGGAAACACAGCTTCTCATCATAATTGATTTAAAGGCTCGCGACACATTTTTTCCAACACCTCAATTTTAAGCCAGCTGCTTCTGGATGGGGCTCCACCAACTTTGTCCCCTTTGCTTGGTCGTCATCACACTTCCAGACCTGCTCTGTAAGCTGCAATTTTCCGCACCCTATGAGCTTGACTGTCATATTCAGAAAGTCTCATCATGAATGAATCTGCACCAATGCAGCACCAGGGATAGCCCAAGCACTAAATTTTTTGAGCAGAGATCCCTAGTCTGTAGAGCAGTAGAAGCTTTTGAGAGCTGAGAAGGTGTGGGAAAAGTGCAGTCACCTTTACTGCCAACACCAAAAGTGCACATGATTGGATTGCTTCTTGGCTGGTTCCCAGACGGGGTGCACTGCAGGGAGATGTGTTAGATGTGGTTGAAATTGTAGGGACTCTTTTAAAATCAAACCTATTGAAACTGACAGTATTTGCATTGGGCTTGCATTCAAATTAGATTAGTTGTTGAACATCGCATTGGTTTTGCTGTGTTTGTTTGCAAATGCCATTCTGCTATTACTCTTGATAAATTGGAAGACCTTATCTTATGCATCGCTTTTTATATTTTAATGGACATCTAACCAGTCCTTTTATAAAAAATAGACCAACCAGCTTTGCAGCTCAGTGATTTGGTTCTCTGTGGTGCGGTGTTAGTCATTTAACCCAGCCGGTACATTTAGTGCAGTTGCTGCATTGGTGGAGATACAGGGTTCTCAAGAGTCAGCATCAGTTGGATTGGCATTCAACACAGCCAAATTACATCCGAGTGCCTTCTCAGAAATCCTGAGAATTGTTTTCCCAAGATATACCTGTGGTGTTTTTAAGGACAAATCAGAGCTTGGGGGACTTCAAAAGTTCAAGGTGACCTTGGGGGTTCCTAAAGAATTTTTCTATTTGCAAATAATTGTAATTAAATGACAGAATGCAATTTGCTAAATAAAATTTGACAGCTGAGGTCACACACTTATTAGTTTAATAATGAATTAGTTAAAGAACTCTTGGCAGCAAAGGACAGCAGATTGTTAGGCCTTGTTATACCTTAGATTAGTTGAGGTGAAATGGGACTGAAGTTGTCCTGATATTGAATTTCTATATAAATTTCTTACCTATAAAAGGCAAAATGTATAGACCATGTGCCAAGTGTTTCTAAAAGTGTGTATTTTGGTATCGGGGCACCAATTTCCCCATGTGTAAGGGGAAACCGGATTCATGTTTGCAGGAATTATTGATATAAACAATATTCCAAAATGAACTTAGAATTTGGTATGTACACCCATATCCCTTGGTATCACCGGGCACATCTTCTATAACTGCAAAAAGAAAGAGATTGCACTAATTTTCACTTCAAACATTTTGAAAGTGGCCCATCATTTTTGGAAAGTACTTTTGAAAGGTCATGCTCATACGCAAATGGTGACCTTTGATGACATGCGTGTATCTGTTTTGTATTTCAAAATTCAGTGGAAAAGAAACGCCTCATGATTATTCTGTTTACTTTCTGGTTTGCTGTCAGCCCGCCACATCACCAGCTCCAATTTTTAACCTGAATACCACAATGATCTCACAGTCTGCAAACTCTTGTTATGTAGCACTTGTGGTTCCACTTCAAAATAACCCCAGCAAATTCAGTGGGAGGGACAGGACAGTGAAAACATTCTACTATCCCATCAGTAGGTTATAAAGCCATCAACGGGAGGAGTAGCAGGGGGTCCATCATTTTTCTGTGACCTTTGAACTTATACGTGGTTAAGTGAAGGGTCATTCAGCACATGGGAGGAATAACAGGCTGCCTGCTGGCATTGTGACTTTCCATTTTTTTTCCCTTCTTTCTAATCTGAAAGTTAAAGGCTTGCTGACATGTAATAATGTACATAAGCAGCACCGTCAGATTTGTTGCCGAAACATCAGTTTATGAAACTTTCTGAAAGAAGTCTGCTTTTGAACTGAAAATGCTCTGAGTGGGAACTTTGCATTCTGTTGTTTTGTTTGGCAGTTCAGAAATGTGAATGAATCTGAACCAGTTAATTCTTTCACAGAATACATAGGCGAAATGTAACTTAAAAGGTTTTCATATGATTTTATTTTTTTCTGTGCACACAGTATAAAGTCTCGAGTCGAGCTGCGGGAGAGACTAAAATGCAAGCCTTTCAGCTGGTATCTCGAAAATGTATATCCAGAGTTGCGGTAAGAGTTTTAAAAATAATTGTACTGTTTTGTATTCAGCGGAGAATCACATAAAACCTTAAACCCTTTCGTTCATTTCAGCAAAGGACACACTGGCATTCTGCTATTTTGACAGCACTTTTATGCTGCCATTTTGTTGCCTTTGCTGTTAATGGCACTCTTACTCTCATTCTTGTCTGTGTTTGGTTTCCTAAGTTTCCATCAATCACGGTCATGACATGGCGTCTTGTCTTACTGTCATTATATTTTTCATTTGTTGTTTGCTCTACATAGAGGCCCGAGCATTAGTTTACAAGCATTTTTTAAAACTAATTTCTACCTCATTACAACCTGTTGTTTTATCTTGCTCTGTAATCATGACTTATTTTGTAAGTTACTTATGACAGCAAGTGATTTTTATTTGAAAGTAATTGAATCCTTGGATCTCTGGTGCTGATCCTCTGCCAGCAAGGCTATCCCACATCAGCTACTCCAAATGGTCATTGTCTATCTTGTGTTTATTTGTGATCACGTTCATCCATTCCTGTACCTTGCAACCTTGAATATACAAGAACCAAACAAAATTATACATTTGGCCAATCACTCCAGTGTTTCCCGCAGCCTTTCTTTCAATATGTACGGCTGATGTCTGAGTTATTAATCTGTTTGATTGTCCAGCACCACAAAATCCCTAGTCCTTGCCAGCCGTTACTCTTACAGGGATCCCCTCAAATTGAGCCTTTAAGGATGGCTGTGCCTACACTGCAGGGGATACAACACAGATATAAAAATACACAGATTGTGTATGCATCCACCTACGCTGCAGCTTACTGATGATTCCACATTAAGGCATGTTTGAAGTGGGAAATGATGACACATCAAATGGCTTCCATGGGGAAACACAAAAACATGAATACATGATATGTGTGATGCCAAGTTGAAGGTAAAGGAACACCTCCAAACTTGAAACATTTTTGTTTTCGCTGGAATGCTTCTGTATGGAACACTGGGTGTTCCTGATTGGGATGTGTCTGTATTCCAATTTGGAACACAGTTCCCAATTCATGCGCAAGTATGGACCAGTTTGCCTATTTGGGAACAGAAGGTGTTCCCAATCAACCCTGAGTTGAAGTGCGCCCTCACTTGAAAAGAAGAGACAGGCTGGTGGTTTTTAAAATTTTTTCAAATGGGTTTGTGCACGTGCCCACCTTGCTCATACTGGTAACGACTACACATTCAAACAGATATTGGTGTGCTCAGCGAATCCCTTGCCAAGTTTGCATTAACCTCTGGTTGAGTTCGGGCGGCCTGTTCTTGACTGGGTTTCTTGTCCTGGCGCTCGAACAGCGGGAACACGACTCAAGGACATTGTTCTTGGAACAGGATCACACACCACCTCCTCGTCAGGATTTTACAGGAACACATGGAAAAACTCTTGAGATTTTGATTTTTGAACAGCTGCAAAAAGTAGAGAGATGACTTCCAAAGCCAAAGGCAATGGGAAGTTTTTCAAAATTGACATTATTTTCCATAACACAGAAATGAATGTTCCTGTTTAAATAAAAAAGAATTCAGCCCATCCAAACATTAATTCTCGAAGGACGTACATGGCCGCCGCCATGTTGCTTGCCACTACATGCACCACCAGCAATTACCGGTTGTTTGTTCCTGTTGTTCGAGCGGCCGACCCACGAACAACAAATCAAGCTGTTCGTGAACATATGAGAACAAGCCGCCCGAACTCAGCAACTGTGTCCACATGTTGAGTTCCCACCTAAAGACCTTTGTTGTTGTGAGAACAAGCCGCCCGAACTCAGCAACTGGGTCCACATGTTGAGTTCCCACCTAAAGACCTTTGTTGTTATGTAAAACACACCCTCTCTTGTTCCTGCTCAAAGTGGATTGGAACATTTCTTTTCCGTTTGACCTTTTAGGTGCTCCCTGTGGGTGTGGGTGTAGGAAAATATGGCAAACTCATCCCTAATCCTCAGGCCTATTCTGCCCCCCAAATATGATTAAATATGACCCACTCTCAGAAAATGAGTCACATGTCACCGGAGCAACTGTTTAGTGTTACTTTGTATTAGGTGGAAAATTTGAGCTCTCTGTTTCCATGTGCCACTCAGTTTAGTATGATGAAAGTAGACGTGTAGAGTTTAAAATGTTGAGGATTCCTATTGCTTAATACAGTGCAAGATTCTTTCAAACGTCTTTAACTCAAAGTGGCTTTGGCAACGTGACACATTTTGCAGAGCGGCTCACAACTGCTAATTGAATGAAACAAGTCACCGGGAATTTCAACCCAAAATTTAATAGACCCCAGTGCCAGACCCCCCCCCTCCGAAATCGTCTATGTATAGCATAAGGCCTTCAGTGAAGGACATGTGACCCTGCATTGACCTTGGCAGTTGACTTCCAAGTAGTTTGATTGCGTTTGCTGTTTCTTCCTGTTTCTATCATTGAAACCATGGTGTCCCTGATATGAGAAAGGAGAAAATGCTTTTGGATTAGGAAGCCACTGGAAAAACAACCTCGTTCCTGACAGGATTGAACAACAAAAACTTAACTTATGACTTGAGATTAGGACAGAAATTGATGAGAGGCACATGTGTAGTTTTCAGAAGTTTGGTTGAACTTAGCTAGAATGTGTCACTTTTCATATCAAGACCATGGATAATGTCAGTAAAACTCTATGACATTAAAGTACTGTGCGGATGGTCCCTTCTTGATGCGCATTTTTCTCAGGAAGCCATGATAATCCACTTATGGGAAAAAATTACAAATGTTTCTATTGAGTGAGGATACTTCATGTGTGCCATAAGGACATCATGCGTTCATCCTCCACTTGAATGAGCATTGGCCATATTGGGGACTGGTGCCCACAGATGGCTCTTCACAGTACGCCATGCAATGCCCAAATAGTGCATTCACAGAGCCCATCGTGGGCGGTTTTGTGGGGAGTCATTTTTGGTGGCAACATCTCCTTACTTTCCAACAGGAATGATCAAATGTAGGAATCGTCAATTTCATCTGAAGATGTGTGTGTAGCTTGCAACCTGAGCCTGAAGATGATCGCTTACATTTTGTTAGTGACAGCCTAAACCTTTTTTTTAAAGACATAATTTGAGATATTAATTTTAGGAGATTGAATAGACCAGTGTTGAACCTTGTTGGAACCACATGACAAAAATCATTTTCCTCCAGTCTTGAGGCCTAATTCCTTCAATTTGTACCAACAACATTGCTTTGTCCAAAAAAGTATTCTGACATGTAATTACAGTATATCAAAGCTGCCAACACTGATTAAGAGTTACGTGTGAGATTTTGTGAGGGGAGCAGAGCATTTGGAAGAATGATGTGGGTTTGGGGTTCCTACAGAAAGGAGCTTGAGTCTTTATCAGCTTTAAATAATCATCTGGTGCTTATGTTGGTATTTAAATAGGATTGAATGTGGCCAATTTTTTTGTCTACCTAATTTTAGTCTGAAATTTCATCTAGAAATACACATCACCATCTGTTTGCCAACCATTATTTTCATCAGTCAGTTAGGGTAGGACAATTTTGGAAAGCTAGAAATGTGGGGGAATTGCTTGTAAGTTTGCAATTATTTATTTTGTTTTCTTTCTCTTCTTTCTCTCTGTGTCTGTGAGTTTGTTTCTGCATTCAATTGGAGACCCTGAACAATAGAGGACAATAAGGTCCCCGATTGACAGAGGGTCCCCGATTGACAACCGTGTACAAGTTGGGACTATAGACTTGGGCTGAGTTCAGGCGGCTTGTTCCCGTATGTTCACGAACAGCTCGATTTATTGTTCGTGGGTCGGCCGCTCGAACACCGGGAACAAACAACCGGTTATCACAAGCAACATGCAACATGGTGGCGTCCATGTACATTATTTGAGAGTTAAGGTTCATTTCTGTGTTATGGAAAATGATTAATGTTAATTTTGCAAAACTTCCCATTGTCTACATGGTCTATGGCTTTGAAAGCCATCTCTCTACTTTTTGCAGCTGTTCAAAAATCAAAATCTCCCGAGTTTTTCTGTGTGTTCCTGTAAAACCCTGATCAGGAGGTGGTGTGTGATCCTGTCCCGAGAACAGTGTTCTTGAGTCGTGTTCCCGCCGTTCGAGCGCGAAAACAAGAAACCCGTGTCAAGAACAGGCCGCCCGAACTCGACCCTGGTGAAATATAGATTGTGTTGGGACTGAAAATGTTACTGGACAATTTTTCCCCCACAACTTGGCCCGGACTTTTCTAACAAAAGAAATGGTCCCCTCATGGTGAGGGCCTACCCATATGTGTTAGCCTTACATACACACATACATGTACCTCATGTGGACATTCCTTTGTTTTCATGTGGTTAAAAAAAATCATTAAAATACTCTTTTTTCTTGAAATTGGAAAACACTTTTCACTTTGTTAAAATGTCTCCTTGACTGTTCCTCTTCCTTGTACGACAGATAAACCCAAACCCCCCAATGTCTCTAAACTTCTTTTTCAGGGAAGGGGAAACGTCCTGTGGACACAGGTAAGTCCTCAGAACGTCTTCCCTTCCTGCATCATGTGGACATCGTTTGTTCACAAGTTCACACTACTGATAGGTATGTAAGGCTAGCTTATTATGGGTTTAACAGTATGACAATAACCTGAAATGCAAGATAAATCAAGCCATCAGGGTACGGTATGAAGTTTTGTCCAGTGAATGAAAGGTAACATTTAACGCTTTGAATCTGTTGGCTGACCCGAAACACTTAGCTTTTTTGTATTGATTTGCACTGTGTTTGACATACACTACATTGCCGTGCTTGCGAGTTGGCAGCCTCACTGTAAAGCTGTCTAGACGGCTACATGCACACTGGACTTCAACATTCTCGCATGATTTTGATGTGTGATCCTTATGAGCGGCGTTTATATTTTCAATGTCTGAAGATTGTGATTGTGTCAGTCTGAGCAGCATTGCCAATATTCTTAGCTATTCCCACATTGAACATGAATCCTCTGTTCTGTATCCATGTTTAATATATATTAAAAGCTCACCTCTTTATTTCCTCGCCAAAGAAATCGGCCAAATGCATTAAGTTGTATATAAGCCACTGGACCCCATAGGAAATACCCACTTAAATCTTCTTCATGCACCAGACAGGTTTCTCAGGAAGGGCAAAGGGAGAAACTCAGTGCAAAGATAGCTCCGGCCAATTAATTAGGAAGAATAGAAGAGGGAGAAACTGTCATGGGAGTTGTTGCTACTGGTGCCAGGCTATGAATCAGGTGTAGAGTGAGGTGGTTAGCGAGAGTAGCAGTTGGTGACTGATTGCATGTGGTGTTTGCTTGTGAGATGGGAAAACATGAGAATACTAAAAACCCTTCTGGACTCTATCATGTGGTTTCCATGCCAGTTTGTTCTTGTTTGACTGATTTCGCGTACAATATTTCCGTAAAGTGTTAATGAGAATGTAACAGCAGGATGTATTCAGAAAATCCCAGCATTGGGACACTTGCTGCCAAATTCTGTTCAAGCCTGTTCGTATATGCGCAATTGTGCCCATGAAGTGATCAATGCCTAATTGTATCGCCTCATATCAAACACTGGAATTCTGAATGAAAACCCAAGAAATTGTTAATGTTCATCATAAGATTACAAGGGACTTGGCTGCTTATCGTTAAGCGGAAAGTACGTAGAAACAGTTTAGGTTGTGCCGAGAGGAAAAATGTGTTGGATTCCTTGTCTCTTAATATTCTTCCCTCCTGAATTCAAATCAATAAATCAGTTAGTCAGAAACACATTGATTCAATTATTAACGTTAACCCCCCTTGGGTTATTTAAAATAATATTGAAATTGGAGGATTGAGGACTGTAAAGGTTAATCTGTATAACCAGTTGCACACCGAAGCAAGTAAACAGAGCCAAGTAAACAAGCACTTTGAACTCAAAATTGCAGCCCCACCAAAAAAGGGGAAAGCTCTATTCAATCAGAACTGATAATGAATTGAAAATTTACACTGAAATAAAACATGCCATATTCCACTGGAAAGATCACAAGTATGCAATGAGAAGAGATTGTGGCACAATTTATTAATATTCTGCTATGGGTTTGTTCCAGCCAGGTGGCAGAAAGTCGCTGCGTACAGTCATGTGGCTCCTAGGCAAAGTGAGATGTCACACCTTTCCATTGCCGGGGAGGGGGGGTTGATATCTCAAACAGGAATAACATTTATGCAGCCTTCTACCTACCCTCCCACCCCTACACACCCATTCCTGTTAATGCCCCCAGCCTTTGGTGCAAAAAACGTGTGAACAGCATTTCCTTGTGAATAATTGAAGACAAAGATGTGCAGTTCACAGCTGGGTCCTTTCAGTGGCCAGCATGTGCCAAAATTCTGCCGCGGAAAACATAATCAAACATTAAACAACTCAAAGAATTGCCCTGGCCAGCGAATATAATCAAATATTTCTTACCTGAATATGAAGCTACACTTGCATTATTTATTTACTCTTGTATTTTTTGGTTTTCCATGTTGGGAGGTTTTTTCAGTATTAAAGGTACAAGATATTTGGAACAGCTTTGCATTATTCTATTTTATGTTTTTCAAAATGAGTCCTTGTAAATCTGGGATCTGCCAGGCTTGCAAAATACAATGTACATGTACATCGTGAAGCACTCAAATTTAAATTACCCCTAAAAGTTGAGGTGAACGGTTGGAGTTTGAAAGAGGATTTAAAAGATGCAATTTAGGAAGAGATGATTTAAAAACCCAATTCTATCTGGGAGGGATTCTCCTTTTATGTTTGAAACAAAATTTTGTCGCTGTTGAGCAGGTTTTTTGATGTGAAATTGAGAGCTCTGTGGCAGTTCCAACCCAGAGGCAAGTAGGTATGTAGAAACGGAAGCTTGCCAAAGTAACACTGAACTTTTTCGCTGACCATATTACTCCCAGATGAATAGAAAGGGGAGGTGTGGTCTACTTCTCAGAATCCCTCAGAATGAGCAAAGATTGCATGCTCATATTTTGCAGCTGTTTTCAATTGACGCATGCATACACTGAGCTGATCTTGGTGAATGTGTGCGCATGCAGTATGTGCAATCAATATCAAAGTAAGCCCTAAATCATTTAGCCTGATGCATCACCGTGACCTTTCACAAGATGCTTGAAGAATCTCTTTTCAAAATTAATAACCCATCCCAGCGGAAAGTGTCTCATAGTGAAAAAGCTGAATAATTCAGGTCAGCAGTGAAAGGTGGTGCTGTTCCCTTTGAAGCAGTAGATTTATAATCTAATTGGTAAAAGCATAGCCTCTGTCTAAATAGTTCCAGCTATGGAAATCCTCAGGTATTGGCCTCCACTTTGTTGAATTCAGTGTTTATTTATTTGAATTTGTTTTGGTGTCAGCAAGTGGATGCTTAGCACCATTTGGAGCCCCTCTAAACATTCTTTGTTGTGTCTTTGTTTATTTTTTACAATGACTTGGTATCGGTTGGTATTTTCTATTACTTACGGTTAGACATACACGTAGATTTGTAAATCTATTGCAGGAATTTTGACGTGTTGTAGTGTACAAATATAACATGGTTTGAGAGTGGATAGTCAAATTTAGCTTTCTGAGGTATTGGACATTGACAAACTACTCGTAGTTCCCGAGCCAAACCGGATTAAGCCGTGCTATGTTTGTGTAACCTCACTTCAAGACGTATTCAGATGCCATTAAAATGTCAGGAGGCAGAGAAAAGCCTTGGGGGTGCACTGAACCAATTCAAGCTCCATTGAAAATAGTGTAAAATCAACCAAGTTTGGAACCCCATGGCAGGCAACTGAAGTCCCTGAGGCCTCTCAAACAAAAAACAATGTGTTGTTTGGTCTTTCAGATTTCATTTGATTTTCAATTTTTAGTAGGTTAACCAATGAGTTTTTTAATTATCCGCCCAAAACAAACTCACCCCCCAAAAAGTGAGTGTTCCCAAGCCCTCCCAGCGGCCATTTTTCAAATGACATCCCTCACCTTCCTGGGGCTCTTCTGACAAATTTTCAATCACATTTTTTTCTGCATTGCCCCCAGATGGGTGCCCCTGAATCTACAGAGATGATCCTGGGCCATACTGACACAATCCCACCATTTCTTGGCCCAAACCGGCCCCCGCTTTTCGAAAGAATCTGTAGGGATACTTTTTGTGCGCCTCGGCCTGGCAGAGAATTTTCCTTGAATTGGGACACTGCACCCTTTTGTGTATGTGGTGCTGCCATCTGTCCATGTGCAGTGTCCATATAGCTAAGACTATGCTTGCGCATGCATACTTTACCTGTACGACATCTCCATGGACTGCTCTTGTTGAAAACTTCAGTACAAGCACGCATTGGACTTGTGTGGGGATGTTTCCAAAGTGCGCCTGGTAAACATCAAAATGGCAACCAGCACCTGATGTTGAATTGACCAGTGAAAGTTATAGCTCTCAATCATGAATATGCATGAGATATGGTAACAACAAATGGGGGATAAATACTTGGTTGTTGTAAGCTTTGAAACACTGGTCACCATTGTGAATTGAAGGACAAATCATATTGTCTTGACTTTAATTTCCAGAGTATTTTCAATTCATTTATGTCAACAGAGTACCGGATAAGCAGGATTTGGCCTTTGGCGCAATCCAGCAAGGGTCAATGTGTATGGATACGCTAGGCCACACAGAAGATGGTACACTAGGGTTGTATGAATGCCACAACAGCGGTGGCAATCAGGTCAGTAAAAAAAAATCAGAATGAATGGTGAAAAGAATGTTATACCTGCTGGTTCCTAGTAATTTACCCAGAGCACAAGGGTTCACTTTTCTGTTTGTCACAACTTATGTTTTAGAGAGATAGATGTCGAAGAAATTCGTCAAAGCCAATGCCTTTATAGTGGATATGTACATGTTTAGGGTTCTCCCTAAGAATAAGAGCTGTAGATAGTATTGAACAATTTCAGTGTTGCAAAAGTAATTTTTAGCTGTTACATTGCATGTATTGAACAAAACACTGATCTGTATTTTTCTCAAGGGTACAATTTTGTTCAAAATTTGTGGGTTTTTTTTTTTCTGGAACCCGTTCACTTAAAAGTAGTTTTATTTACCAGTTCACAGTGTGGTGCATGAAATAAAACTATGCTTTTTTAGAAATGCAAATAAATTGCAACATGATGAATGACAGCATTTTGAGCTGTCGCATACCTATCACCAGTCATTTCATCTTAAATTTTCTTCCAAATTGCAGGAATTCTCCTTCACCAAAGAGAAAGTGATCAAACACTCTGAACTGTGCCTGACGGCAACGGACAGTATGTCAGGTGCCAGGGTGCTACTAAAAAGTTGCAAAGGTTACCATAGTTACCAGGTAAAGGTCCTTACTCCAAACTTTCCTCAAAGTGCTAAACTAAGCTTGTGGTACTGGTGGAGAGCCAAAATTGAAGATTGTTAGAAAGAATTTAGAGGACTCAGATTTTAATAATGTTTTTAAATTCTTGTAACAAGTAGAAGTGTTGGACATTTTGGTTTGAGCACAACAAATTCTCAGGATATATCGTTGCCTAAAAAGTATGTGGGGCCAGATATGATTTAGGGACTTAAAATGCCCCTTCTTGTGGAGCTATACCTGATGGGTCAAGTTTTTGTTGGGTCAAGTTTTTGTTGGGTCAAGTTTTTGTTGGGTCAAGTTTTTGTTGGGTCAAGTTTTTGTTGGGTCAAGTTTTTGAAGAGAGGAAGTTGTTTGTGAAGTTAAACCACTGCACAAGTAACATAGGCTGGTACAGCAGCTTGAGCCTCCAGAATCCTTGCAATTGATTCAGATTCTCAATGGAGAATGTTGAAGACAGATATTCACAATAGACACAAACAGAAAGACTTCATCTTGGGTACCAGACTTTGACATCTGGCTGAAGTGTAGCCAAACTCCTTCTCGGACAGACTTTTTGGAGTTTTACTTAATAGGGTATTTCAGTCACAGCGAAAGACAGAATTACATTGTACTTTTGTTATTTTTTACCTTTACAGCAGCTTTTCATTCTCACCAAAAATTTTTGAGTTGTAGTTTGGGGGGTTATAGGTTGTAAATGTGTGACAAGAACTGTTTTCTAGAGAGTGATCTTTATTTTTTCCTGTGTTTTTCAGAAATGGGAACAAGCAGAAAGCAACCGCGTTTTCAAGCTGCAAGGTACCAACCTGTGCTTAGACAGCCGAGATGTCAAAACGATAGGACTGACGGTCCACACTTGTGAAAGGAGAGCCATCACTCAACAGTGGAAATTCTCCATGGGCAGCTTAAGACATTGACAGTAACAAACCATCTAAGTTTTGTGTTGGTGTGTGTGGGTGTGCTAACCTTACATACCTAGTGTGGACTTTTGAACAAAAGATGTCCACACGATGCAGGAAGGAAAGACGTTCTGTGGACTCACTTCCACAGGATGTTTCCCCTACTCTGAAAAAGAAGTTTAGAGGCATTTTGGGTTAACGTTATCTGTAGTAAAAGGAAGAGGAATACTGAAGGAACATTTTACAAAAACCAGTTGAAAATTGTGTTCCCAGTTCAAGAAAAATGAGTATTTTCACTGAGTTTTCATAACTGCACAAAAACAAAGGAATGTCCACATTTGGTATGTGATGTAAGTGCCGTGTGCATGTGTGTGAGTTTAGCAAGGACTTGGCACCACAAGGGAATGTTCTTGGCCTTCTACCTGCTTCTTGGTACACATGATATCTGGTCCCAGACCCTGGTTTGAATGAAGATATGGGTCTGTTTTCAAGATGCGCTCAGTGTAAAGCCTAATGAGGTGTCACAGCTTTAATTGACAGTATCCTAATATTTAAGACCATCAATCTTTGCTTTAGTTTGGTTGTTTTGGTCCAAAGGACACAGTCAGACTGCTCTGTTCACTCTTTTTTGCATTTACTGTTGATACGTTGTCTACTGAAATCAGGAAATAATACCACGTGTAAAACTTTTGCTGAGAAATGGAGCCCAAGAATATTCCCCGTTGCTGATTTTTTAAATTAAAAACTGGCAAAGTACTTGTAAAGGGTGTACAATTGAATGGCTAAGCCATTATTTTCAAACTAACAAACGACAAATTAAACTCTGAAGTGTGCTCAGTTTTTTAAATTCGCACTTTGCAATTTGAGAACTTGTCACAAGTACGATAAATGTAAAAATCTCAACCCTAATGATTAGGGCTTGTATTCTATTTCTTGCATAAGTCACTCGCGGTTTAGCATTTTCTCTCCAAATCATTTCAACCTGTGTAAATTCCCATTTAATTAGTTTAGATTCATCTGAATTTGCTCGCAAAATCTGATTTGAACAGTACTGAGGATGTTTGTGTTTTGAAATATCCATCGACAATGGCCTAATGTTCAAGGTAGAAACACTGCATTCAGCATTTCCCTTAAAAGGGAACAAATAAATGAAAATGAATATATAAGAGGAAGAGCTGTCGAACTCCGGTGAAAGTGTTGTGAAGTGTGTAGGGAAAACGGCCGAGATAATTTGAAAGATGATGTGTTATATACCCCCCCCAAAATGAAGTGCAGACAATTTGAGATGTTGATGATGCAGATCAGGCTCTTGACAGCCAAAATGGTGGCGTTTGGCCCTTCTCCATTGTAGGTACATGTATTGAGGTTGGTGTCTGAATCGGGCTTCTAGAGGCACAGCCAAGCTCTTGTCACTGTGTGCCAGTGGATTACCAATGAGTGAAGATTTAAACCTCAGCCGTATCTGAAACAGGCATCTAGAGGGACACTTATGCTCTTATAATGTATCCAAATATTTGCAGCCAATAAAGACCTAGTCGTAGCTCGAGACACAAGGCTCGGACAGGCTTGAGATGAAAGGGGAAGTTCAAAAACTCTTTATTCATATTTGCAACAATATTTATTTATTGTCAAGTGGCAGCGCACCACATATTTATGACATAGCTCACCTAACGGAACTGTTCCTGTGGGGCTTAGATGCATGAGAATCACTTAGCTCAGATGAACTTTGAGAAGATCTGGGGAATCCAATTATTTCAGGTTTAGAGTAACTGTAACAAGGCTGTCAGCATTCTTAATGACCAGAATGAAATTACCTCGACCTTTGTACTCAAGTTGGTTCCAGGGATCTTGCACTAAATTGCAGGTTTCGAATCCTAGGAAGACATATTTATCTTCAAATTGTACCTCAAAAACAGTTTTTTATACCTGCAGTAAGTAGACAAAGCCATGGTGGGGGGGGTGTTGTTCCATCATGTCCAAGTAGGCTGACCAAAGAAGCTCATGTAGCTATAGTTTTGAATATTTCTTTCAAAGTGTACAGAGGTTGACTCCATATTTTGTTTTTTTTTAATAGGGTGCAATTACTGGGGGGAGAAGTAGTGCATATTATTTTCAAACAGTCCCCACATGCCATTTTGAAGGGGGCCTACTTCTTTAATTCTTCTTTTCCTACTGGTATCTCGGGTCTCTCTTTGAGATGTGGGTAGTATTGGAAATGCAGCTGTGAAGCTGGGAACTAGGAGTTTAGATCAGCCTGGCTATACACAAGCCTTGCTTTGACCTTTGCAGGAAGAAGCTCATGTATGCCACATTTCTAAGTGCTCTGAGTGGTTCCCGTACCAACTTGATGACCTTCAGAACAAAGAGATATGGGATCTTTGGAGGCAAATCTTACAAAAAAATGAGGCCATTCCAAAAGATGACACAGACATGTCATGATTTTCAAAACAGTTCCTAAAGCTTTTAGGGATTTGTTTCTGATGATGGCCTTCATACGAGGAGTGACAAGTGTGTGGACTTCATTTTCTTCATTTCCTTGCCAATTTAAAAAAGGAAAGTGTTATCGTAAATTGCTATATTATTTTAAATGAATAATCAGTAATTTTTTTAAGGAGAAAGATAATCTGTGATTTATGAAGGTGCAAATTTTTTATATCTTGGATTGGAGGCCTGAAAATGACTGTGAAACATATTATTAATTTGTAATTCACTAGTTTATTCGCCAAAATGTTTTGCTGTTGTTTTATTTAACCATAATGTGATATTTCTTTTGTTTGATATCAAAATTTTGGTTTTACATTAAGTTATTTTGAAATTCATCTTTTTTTTTAGGTAATAAGGTACATGTAAAACCCCGATATTGTCAGATTTCAAGTGTCAAGTCTTATAGTTTTAGGAGATCGAACAACAAATGAGGTCCAAACCTCTAGAGATAGAAACACCCCCTTGTTTTCATATTAGCTGTTTCTTTATTTAGGAGATTGTTGTACTGTTTTAAATCACAGGACATCTCATTATTTCAGTATTTTTGCAATGAATATAATGGGTTTAAAAATACCCTTCGATGGACCATGTGCATTAATGGCTCAAAGTACACCCAGAAACAGATAAAAAGTAGTCAAGACTTGGAAAAGGGTATTGAAATTTCATTCAGCATTGTATGCATTCTAGTAGTGTATGGGCATAAAATAGTTGTTTCTTCTTTTGTAGGTTAATTTCATTGCAATTGACCAAACTGTGTATCAATTAATAACAAAAATCCGGAGTGGGACCTTACAGTAAAATGTCCATGGACATATTTGTCATGGAGAAACCTGTTTGTAACTTTATGTTTTGTTTGGCCATGCACAATGTCAAGACAGTGTATGAGCGACGTATAATGTTTGCCTATGTGTTACAAGTACCAAACGTTGGGCACTGGTAGGCATTCCTGTTTTTTCCTTGTGCAGATGGCATGATGTGACATTGACATGTTACATAACAGTATCATGGACATAAGTTTTTATGACATGACCACACCTTAAAAAATTGTAGACCAAAGCTCACATTAACTATGTTCAATCTTGTGAAGTTGCTGCAAAAAATTAAACATTTACTGAAAGTAGCCTACTGGTCAAGATTTGTACACGTTTTAAGAAATGAACATGTTAATGGCAGGTGTGAGAAAAATATTTGGTGACTGTAGTGGACCACCCTACCAACCAAGGTTACTATTATAAAGATGTCTAAAGTAGTTACTTTGTAGACCGTTGAGAGTGACAGACCTTTGGGGATTTAAATCTCATCAGGGAGTTTGATTGGTCACAAGTATCCGTCCATTTTGTGGTGATTTTAACACACAGGCATTTCGGCAAACTGGTCTTTTACTCTATGCAGACTTAGGCATGCCCTGCATGGAGTCAGTTTTATTCTTTTTTGAAATGCCAACATGTGTCTACAATCATGAAAGGGAATTAAACATCGTATGTGTAGTAGTGTCTTTGGAAACAAAGCCTCAACATGGGCATTGCCAAGTTCATCTTCTTAGATCTCAAGAGCAGATGTCTGTGCTCCTATCTGTACTGCTCACTGCATGAGGCACGGAAACTTGATTTTAACTTTGTTCCTGATTTATACTGTAACAGTTCATTAATTTGGCATGCACTGTAATGCCTCGCTTCAGACAAAAAAAATACAGGTTGTCCATTAATGCTATTAGATGTATGTACTTGTGACTATTGAAGCTGTTGTGCTGAGTGTGTAAATTGGATAATTGACACTTTCTGCATGCCCAGCTGATCACAGAATGATCGATTATAATAATTCTGTAGAAGTGGTCCTTTGTGAAAGCACGCAAGCAGTGGACAGGGAATGGAGTTTAACTCTTTCTCTTTCTCTTTTTCTTCCGGTCACCACTGTTTTGTGCACATCTGTTGCTTGTACATTTACGTGTATGTTTGATGCACACTCTGCTAGCACAAAAATTTGGTACAGTTTCTCGCTTCAGAAAATGGGGGGAAGTGAAAATGGACTTACACTGTTTATTTCGTACCATTCCCGAAAGTGCTTCAAGCATCTGTTATGTTGATAGTTTGCTGCACCATAATCGAAAGTATAGCTTTTTTGTAATGATCAGTGAGCACTCCACTCCACATATCTGTACATTTATATTAATCATAGTTTTGATTTTCATTTGGCTGGTTAGCAACCCAAACTATTTGTTGCACGTTATTCAATTGCCTGTCCCCTCCTCCCCCCCCCAAAAAAATATTGGTTAGGCTGTTTATGGTTGACATGAAGCACCCTCTTACATAAAATCATTGTAAATAATGCTTCAGACATTGTGGGCAGTACTTGCTGCAGGCATGTTCTCTGATTGGCTCACAGGTTTTGTACAAACTTTTGCCTGTTTGTGCTACCAGGACTTAATAATAACTACGAATAAGCGGTGAAGACCCAGCCTCAGTAATATTTCAAAACATTTTGTATTCACCTGATAAAAAAGGCATCAGTGGACTGAGATGCCACAGTTATATTAAGCTGAATGGAATTTTATAAGCACAGTCTTAAGCTAATGAATTTCAGTCTGTCACTTACAACTCAAACAAGATAAAGTATTAGTGAGCTAGAATGATTGGAACTTATTTGTTCTCGTTTTAAGAGACTTCTAAAACTCCATTGACAAATTAATGTACCCACAATTTCTAACTTTTTTGAAGTCTGGCATTTTACTTTTTTTGTGCCAGTAAAGTGTACATATTCAAGTTAGGTTTGTGGGTGTTTAATTGAAAGTGTGTAATTGATGGATAAAGAGAAATGTTCCGGAATATTTTTTCAAAGAAATATAAAATTGAGAATATGAAATTAAAAAATGTCTGCAAAAAAACAACTGTCTGTGATGTTACCATTATCTCATTGATTTAATTATTAATGAAGGAATTTTATATATCTACTAAATATTATAAAGAAAATATTTTTCTAGTTGGAATTCACAGGGTCAAGCAAGCTACGCCATATTTGATCGGAGATCCTGAAGTTTTAAATCTCAACAATGTATTGACCGTGGGCAGAAATGCCGCGCGCATGCATGCAATAGCCCAACTCTGCAAAAAGCGATAGTCCCTTGATGAAAAAGGCCACTTGAGGGCGCTTTGCAAACATTTGCTAAAACTTTCTAAATTCTAGCTGCATCCATTCTACTATACTGCTTGCACTGTATTAATAGTGACACGGACGTCTGGTTAGGTCGCCATTGATAAGAAATCGAATGTTGTTACCTCAGGCTCAGATTTTGCTTTCAAACTCCATGCTTTAAGCGGCTGATTGAGGAACATGTCTCGGTTATATGATAATCAGCCGTTGCAGTCAGTCCCCGTGGAAAATCACTTGTGGAAGGGACAGTGGTACCCGGAAGTCCACAGGTAGGGGCTAGGCTTGAAGCTTGAGTAACGTAATTTAAGGCGTATCTCGCCTGAGTCAACTTCTCCAGCCCAATTTACTGCTAATAGTATGCGCAGCGCTTTCTATCTTTTAGGTTTTTTTTAAAGCTTGTTTGGTAACTACTGAAACAATATGTAAAGTAAGTATAGCGAGCATGAAGATTGTCTTATCCTAAGGAAGCTTGGTAAACCCAGCCCTATACCCATAGGCCTTGATTTTTCAAGCTAGTCTTACTCCTGAAAGTTTCCAGGGGTGAGATTTCTCAGCTTTTCAGCTGATTTCAGCTTCTTTGTTTTGGATTTCATTTTTTTCCCTCACTGGCTGTGTACAAAAGTATAGGAGATTTTCACGGCTCAGCTTCAGCTGTTTTCAGCTATATTTATCATTGGTCAACCTCATCCCTGTGAAACTATGGAGTTCCTCTCTTCTGAAAGGAGCCCCATACATGTACGTGTAGTTCTAGGGGAAGGGTTGTCTTTTCAATGTTTAATTGAAAAGAAATGCTACTGAATTTCAAACAAATACAAATGTAGTTGTATAGCTCATACATGTAGGTCTTTGGTTTCCTCTTCAAGCAAGTTATGTAAAGCCTAAATTAAATGAATGGAATGGAAAGTGGTAAAACAAGTGGTAAGGGTTGAAAACATGCTACGATTAGAAATTGTTGCTTTTTCCCCATTGTGGATGGATTTTTAAAAATCTTATGCTAATAATTATGTGTGTCAGCAAATACCTACAAAATGTTGCTAAAGGCAAGTCATCATTTCTCCCCTACATCTAGTCTGATCATTAATTTGTAGGCCCATTTCTTGTTTCACAGTGGTCCAGGAGTTCTGTTAGATGGAGTGCTTAATGCAAGGTCCAAGCATATCATCACAGACTCAAACCAGAAAAAGGTGAAATACCATGGCAACCAAAGTTTTAAAAATGAAGAAGGATATTTTGGTCAGAGAATCTTAAACGTGGGTAAGGAAAGATTAATGTGCCTACATCAGGAGTGATATCAGGTATGGGCTTTTTTCTTGCTCTCAGGAGCAGTTTTTGAGGAAATTACAAAAGATACTGAAATTGTCACAAGGAAAGCATGAAATTCAGATGTGGGACAATTGTGGGAAAACATTTGACACTTGACCGTATCTTGCTCATACACGGTCACAAAAGATAAGGAATGAAAAACAAAAAATCAGTCGGCTAGAAATGTCTTATACATGTGTGTGGGCTTCAAGTTGAAATTGAACATAGGTACACTCACGTCTGGGAATACATCATGACATTGTGCTGAAATTACTGGTGGAGGTGTTCTGAGAAATATGGGAGAGGAGGTTGCTATCTTAATGAGCATCAAATTGAAATGTGCCAGTTTTGACAGGATAGACTCCCAACAGCAAAACATGTTATTTTTACTGTCCATGTAGACAGCCAAGAAGGGCTTAATTATGTCGGACCACCTGGCTGCATCAAGTATGTTAAGACATTGAAAGATTGTACAAATTTGTATGTACTTGTTATGGGTATGTTAACAGTGGCTTTTTTAGTAATATGAGACTGCATCACTTGCTTCAGAGTTCTATTCGTTGATGTGATAATTCATGCAGACTAAAAGATACAATGCTAAACATTAACTGTTTGGTCCAAGTATTTTAATATCACGATTGCTCAGTTTAAGCAAATATTTCTGCTTTATGATGACTTAAGTTATTTATAGTTTTTCTTATCTATGGAGTTTCTTCAGTCATCATTTATTAATGGTACTTGAATTGTGAATATTTGATCTTCAAAATAGTCCAGGTATGTGGTGCTTCACATAACACCAACAGTTGCACACCGACGCAAGTTTGACAGCAAAGGAGTTGAAATTGAGCCAAACTTCAGTGACACTCAAAAGGTCAACAAGGGTCATCTAATGTCATCTTACAGTAAGTCAGGGTGGCTTTTTGACTTTTAATTCTGTTTAATTTGGTGTGACTCAAGGGTGCCAGTCCGAACAGAGTGTGAGTTGAGGCAAAGGTAGAAGCGAAATCAGAAAGGAAGTCTAGATTTTTGGATAATGGCCCAAGTTGTGGTATAAATGAACACAGAATTTAGTTGTCACTTTATTAGCATTTTAAAAGTCTTTTTAAACTCAAAGTTAACAATGCCAGTCACAGCATTTTGCAGAATATGAACTTCTGAAGTGATCTTTAAAATTATGAGGTGTGACGTTTTAACTTTGTAGACAAGATTATTTGACACGGAGCACCATTAGAGAGGACACACAAAACCTGCATCTACAAGTAACCATTTTATTTTTACCAGAAGCTTAATGATAAAATGTTTTAACAAAGCATGTTCTATTGTGAGGTCTTTATGCACAGGGCGGAGGACACATTCTTGGCCTGTTTTAGCTGTATTAAAGAGTATGGAAAGACAAATAACTTAGTTTTTAATAATAAAAGTAAAGCTCAACTTAATGAGTCAACCAGTCTTAAGTCTAATGACAAGATATTCAACAGAATTGTTACAAAGGTATTTCTTTGTCACTGTTCCTCCTGTTACTCAAAGAGCTGTGATTGACTTGACAACACCTCTGACAAGTGGCAAAAACCTATTTATTGTTGCATACAATAACTCTTCTCGTTTGGATATTTCTCTTTTCTTGCTGTTGCCTCTATAGAAACAGAAGCAAAAGGGAAAACGGACAGGCTGTCAACTCCCGAGCTGATATCAGCTGTCAGCAGGCAAGACTTGAGCAGCCTGACGTCCAAGTACAATAAAGAAGGATGTGTAGCTTTGTGGGCTACGGAGGAGCAGCTGGACAAGATGGAGCTAGAGAACGGAGACACCCTGAGGCTGAAGACAACGGGTGATTGCCCATTCATTTGTGAGTTGCTTAACCTTTTCATGTCCATACCTGCGCATCAGTTCTTGCTTGTGTTCAATGCTCAGGCAATCCTCCAACATTCCTCTGACCCGTTTACTCATGCACTTGTGTTTCAAGCATTGTGTCATTGTTGTGTACACAGTGTGGACCTCTTGCATTGGCAGGTTGTAGAGTTAACAATGAAGTGAGGATACTTCAGAAGCGTAGTCTTCGTTGTACATGCTACTCTGGTATATACTTTGGGCACTGTATTGTGTGCATATATTGGGATTGCTGAAGTTAGAAAGATTAATTCTTTTACAAAAGTCTCACTGGCTTGATGTGTTGGCAGCTCAAGAATTTAACTGATTTTCTAATTCTGTATTGCAGTAAGGGAAGGCCATTTTAGGATTGACCACCTCCCATCATGCCAGCTTAATGAGTTTGTCCATCATGTTTAAGTCCTTGTATGATCATGCTGATAGGGCAGGGGCCAATCTTGTGCCTGTGCAATAATTATCCTGAAAACCCCACAGTGTGCTTACATTAATCGCATTTCTGGTTGGAATATTGAATTCACTCACACACTTCCACGAATGCCAGCTGCTGGAGATATAGAACAAGGGCCACCTGCAGGCTTGATAGCCTGACCTGTTTTCCCTATCTCCTGTGACTTTTTTTCCACTTTGCACTCTCAGTTTCACTGGCCAAACTGGACACTGTGACAAGCCGAGTGTCCAACTATGCTGGAGGGGAGACAGTGGGGTCCTCTTGGACCGATAAGGTCATGTCCATGAAGTCGCAGGATTCACCTGAACCACAAGATGGTGGTGGAGCTGAGGACGATGAATGGGTGAGATTGCTGGTTTCCTCTTTTTGTGGTGATCGCAGGGGTTTAATAATGTTTTTCAGTGATAAGAATCAAATTGGTATGAATTTATGAAGTAGTAATGTGTTCATGTTTTCTGGAGCTAATGATGCATAATGGTAACTTGTCTGACTGTGAAGAGTGGGCATGTACAGCCCTTTGATCACATTTGATCTCACACCGTATTGTTTTCACAGAGCAGCCATTTTAGAACTCCGTTTTAAGTAACATGTTTGATCTTTTAAGTGGTACATCGCTCACTTTTAGTTTCTTTACAAGTTGAGAAAAGAGAGCCCTGTTTATTAACTCTCACTCCTCCAACTAAGACAGTGAACCTCTGTGTATGTCTCCATCATTAAATCTCAGTATGCACACAGAGGTACTAGCCCGCACAAATATTCCGTAGCCATATGAGAAATTGCACCATACTCAATCGTCCTCTGCTTTTACATTTTGCAGGATGACTGAAGAAATGCCTGGATAAATAACCTAAGGCAGCCACACTTCGATTCCTCATTTGGGAGACTGTGATATCATTTACCATACAAAAAGTGTGCTTTCTTTCCATCAGAAAGAAGAATAATGACCTAATTGGTTGTTCGTTATCTAAAATGCCACTTGAGAAAATTTCCAGCCTTAGTCTGCCAGTAAATAATTTAGAACCCTCTTTTTTCAGGGGTGTGTTTTGAAAAGGGCTACATAGTTTTGACATAAGCCTGGTCCGTTCTTGCTGAGGGATATTGGACTAGTCCTTTGCAGCAGTTGGAAGTTTTCTAAGCTTTTCTTCAAATCCAAACTGTGCTGAGTGCAACAAAATCAAAGACTTTGTTGGATTTAACAATCAACACATCTGATTGGGTAAGGTCACTGCATGAAGACTGCTGCTTGACTAGTTCATTGCAATGAAATCCACCATTGCATTCTGTTGCAGTGAGCGGCCTTTTCAGTTCTTTGGATGTAATATTTTGCTGCATTTAGTAGGGTGGCTAATTCCAATCTGAATAGGGATAAGAAATGTTTCAACTTCTTGGAATAGGCAAGACTAGTTTCTCAATTGAACTGTTTGAACAACTCTCAGCAAAACCTTCGAGTTACTCTTCACATCTGAAATCAAAATTGAAATTGTTCCTTCTCAAAGGGTAGAAAGTCTTTTGCAAATTGCTGTGGTGAGAATCACTGTCAATTTTCTTACTTGCATGGCATTTTTAGAGAGTGATAAAAAGTACAGGTGTTTATGAAATCTCCCTATGAATATTAATGGAATTTATGTGTACAAAGTTCAATTCAGAAATTGTTTATTAATAATCTATATTGTAGTTGTTTAAAATTGCTTCCGATTTCTCCTACCAGTTTCCAGGAAAATATACTCAAAGAGGCAGTTTACTGCCACTGTGCATCATTCTACAGTGAAGTATGGAGCCATGCAGTGACTCCTCATCAATGACCTTATAATTCTGGGAAAAAAGCAATGTAAATTTTTCATTTTACTTCATCTAGTACATATAGAAACACAAACACAGCTCAAGGAGCTTTGACACATTATATAACAAAAATCCATTTCTATTTTTATATGCATTAAATGATATCATTTCAACATTGTCATTGTGCACAATACCGAATGTATTAAATGAATTATTTAACCCTAACAGTCCTCAATCCTCCAACAGGTGAAGGATTGAGGACTGTTAGGGTTAATTAAGCCAATTTTTCGAAATTGAATAAATAAAGGTCTATTTCCACTGACTTGTATATAGAAATACATAAAACAGCAAGTGTGAATTGATGTCGCATTATTCTCCTCATGAAGTTAGTTTCTTATGTACATAGTAAACTTGTTCTGGAGGAAATTGTCCAACTTTAAAAAGAAAGATAATTTGGAAACCAGTGTCCCAGCTTCTTTGGTATGAATCAGTTTCACTGTAGTGGTAAGTCCACAGTCTGCTGCCATGTCTAGGAGACAGTGTTGAGATCAATGAGTAGTCTCTATGAAAATGGGAGGACTCGGCTTCAATACATCAGGTTGAGGCTGCAGTTGTGTGAAGGAAGCTTTACATCTTCCAATCTTTATGTGGTCCTGACACATGTAATAACATAGGTCCATGTAAAGCAGGTTGTCAAAACCTGTGGACTAGACCAGGTCCACACAGTTTTTCTCTTCTGAAAAAAGGCATACAGGGATTGGACGGTCAGGGCTTTATGTACCAAAAGGAAGAGGAACAGTCAAGGAAACCATAAAATCATCCTGCTTAAAATTGTGTACACAGTCTCCCAAAAAATGAAAATTTAACCGACTTCTTCACAACACAAGAAGAAAGGAATGCCCGCACAAGGTGTGTCAGTTCTCTAGCCAAAGCCCAAGTGATTGACACAGATCTATATTTTTCATTGAAGGTCATGCCTCAGTAGTTTTGATGATAGCTTATCCAGGAACTCACACAGTTGTTATATTCCCAGGCTTATTTCCGATGGTTCTCCACTCATGGAATGTGGATGCATGCTTCAGCCTCTCAGCTGTAGACGGTTCTACAAATTAGACCTTTACGAACATGTTGAGCAGTGACAATATGATTTGTCTGTAACCACTGTTCCATAGTTGTATAAGTTTTGTGACTGAAGTGACCTCGACTGAATGCCCTCACTGTATCAATGCAAATCGTTTGTGCCAGAAAGAGATACATAAATCTGATACATACCACAGACACTTATGACACATCCAGTCATTAGATTTACACATTTTCATAACCACTTTAATACACAATATTAATACATTCTAAACAGTTTCATAAACAGTACTTCACCGTGATATACATGTACACCACTATTATAATAATCAAATATGTCCTCTGAAAGGTTTCAATTAAATTTGTTAATTTCAAATGTGATCAGAGCTTTTTTAAACAGCTCAAATGTTGTCGAGTCCCCACTGGACTTTTCTTAGGCTTGCATGACTAGTTGCATACATGACCAATTACATAATTCCAATCCCTCCAAGACTATCACTACACCATGCCCTCTATCTTCTTGGTCTCACTTTTTCAATGGCCTTGAACCGAGTTACTTTGTCACATGAGAAAACACAACTATCACCTCCCTGTGCACAATGTGATATTTTACAACTGATCACTAAACAAGTCCCTGAAACAGTGTCAACTCTACCATATAGCTATGGAAGTCTTTTCAAAAGTAGGTACTGTTTCCTAAAACTCCAGTTTCCATGTAGCTCTTCTCACAATGTATCATGAGAACAGAACTGTCTAATGCTCTCTGTAAGCTTGTAAGGAAAGCCAGTCCACAGTTCAACCCAAGACATGCTTACCCGTAAAAATTTCTTAACCAGTTGACCAATCCGGCAGACCCACAAATAATGGCGAGCAATCAACATTGATGTTGGTGTCCCGATGCAATACTAATTTTATGCACAAGAAGTTGCCCTTCATAGGGCAGCCAGAATGCAACAAAATACAGCATGTTATGAACTATTTTGAATAGAAAAGCAGCTTTCCCTTGGCTTTGCCTTCAGCAGTTGGTTCTTCAGCCAAGATACTCCAAGGAAAAATCAGCAATTTCAAGTTTATAAGTCACTTTGCATGGAAAAATTCTACTCCATGCAAGACAAACACATCTGTATTGCTACTGAAAGCCCCCCCTCCCAGCAGATTAAGGATGCCGAATGCATTTCATCTAAGGCAAAGTTGTCTGTGTATGCTTTGTGGGAGCAAACAGACTTTGCAAATGTGACGCACATGTGTAATCCCACCTTACAGAGTTGGAAAAAAGCATGAAAACTATGAATCATTTGTGTTTGGTCATACCCAATAAATATGGAGAGAAAAAAATGAGAAGCATAAATGAGAATATTTCTTTTTTAGCACAAAAAGGAATTATCTTTCAAGCAGGAAAACTTTCAAGTAGAACAAAATGTCCAAAAGCAATTATAGCTGAAAACTGACATCAAAAATTCACCGGAATTTTGCCAGAGTTGTTAAAAAACAGAAATACAGTCAATGCAGTCAATACCATCTTTCACATGGAGTGATTCTTCCTTTTCTCTTGTTTTTCGAAGGTGTCATTAAAGAAAGTAAGTCAACTGTTATTGACCGTCTTGTTTTGGGATGAGTAAGAATGAAGGACCATCCAGCCATTGCATTTGGCATTATTACTTCTACAGCAATAGCTCCCAGATATTGCAAGCTAAACATTAACGGTTCAATACCATATTTATAATTAAAATTGAAAATAATAATATGATTCTCGCTAACACCTAAGAGTTCATTTCAAGTTTCAAAGAGTAAATCTTCATCCATATCATCCTCGATGAGATTCCCGGCTTCCTCAAACTCCTCTCCCGCCTCTTTGCGTGCCTTCATCTCTGCTTCTTTCTTGGCCACGATGATCTTCTTCTTCTCCTGGATCTTCTTGAGACGGTAGAACTCCTCCCTCTCTCGCTCGTCTAGCTCAGAGGTGATGTAGGCGATGGTGTTCTCAATGCGTGGAATGATGACTGTAAAGAGTAAATGGATTTACGGTAATGAGACTTAAGGGAATGGCTTGTCTGTCTTACATCTTCATGTTTCCTGAAGAGTTCAAGATATTTGTTTCCGTTTTTCATCCGAGCAGATTTCTTACTGCACATGTGTTTAAGATTAGCTGATGTAGTTTGATGAGACAAGTAACAAAGTAGAAGCAAAAAAGACTCTGGAAACGATTCCATCAGAAGTGACTTTTAAAAGCTGCTCTGCACCCATGTGAAAGAGACAACCTATGATAATGCTAAAGTTGGGCTGCATTAGCGGAAGCAAAGATCTTTCATTTGCCACTTTCTTGCCACAGTCCAGTGGACTTTTACCGGGTGGTCAAACAACACACAACTGCATAGTCACAGATCCCTCCTGTAGATTGGGGTACGTTGGGTCACTGATGACCAGTGATTCAACCAACCTTGGCAGACTGGTCCTAACCATACATCCACTAGCACTTACCATGTTCTATTGCATTGACACGTCTGTTAGTGATTTTGATGACTTCATCCAGGGTGACAAATGACGTCTGAAGGGAGGCTAGTTCAACCAGCAGCTGAACCGCCTTGTCATAATTCTTTTTCAGTTTGTCAATCTGCTGACCACCGCGAGACAATCCTGTCAGCTCATATGCTGTTGTGACAATAGAATATTACCAATTTTAGCGTGAAACAACACGATAGACTGTTACTAAAAGAACCAATGAGTTTTTTTCTGCCCTGCTCTATTGATCAGCCAACATGGGTGAAATAAAATAGAAGAAAATCAATTTTACTTGACTCAAGCGCAAGAAATTGTGGCATGTGCTTACGAGGCAAAATAATTAGAGGTCACAATACCACGCTCGTGTGGCAGGTATGCATGCCTATTAATCTGCTCTCATTGGGAACAAGTGAGGGGTGTTTTTACATGGAAACAATGATCTTTTGGTGGGAACTCACAGCATAAGCACGTAGGTTGGCACACCGAGTATACACAACCAGTTACGTCAGAATATAATGGTCTTTGCGTGTGCGCAGAGTGGGTGTAAAGGCTTAATTGAAGAACTGCCCACCAGCCTGCCTCTCCTTTAACAGTGAGAAAGCAGTTCCACTTTGGCCAGACAGCATGATAGGGTGCTGTGACTTACCAAAATGCATGCACGCCTGAAGTTTCCAAGCACACAGTAATGGCTTTCCTCTGATTAGTCCATACTAAATCCATCTTTCCAGCTTTATCAATTTCACCCCCCCCCCCGGTTTTGGGGCAGGTTCTGGCATTTCTCACCCATCATCAAACATGGTACACCTTCGGTCCATTTCAGATTTATGGCAAATTCATCAAATATGAAATGACATATTTGACAATGACATGAAAATGAACCCCACGCACATTATGAGATGGATGACAAAATTGGGCAACTCAATTTAACTTACTGTCACTGCCGTCGGTGTAATGTTCAAAAACTGGAAGTAGAACACCTACAATAAAGCCAAAAAAATTCCTTTGAGAGAAATGAAAACGACAAACTGATTACAGAAGGAAAAAGTGAATGACAAACAAATTTAATATCTCAGAGAAGGAGCAGCACGCTAGTACAAAAATGAAGATCCAATTCAACATTTCATCCCTGCACAAGTACGATATGACCATCGCACATCTGGGGCCAAATTATGCTTACCTGCTACATTGTATGCTTACCTGCTACACTGTATGCTTACCTGCTGCATTGTATGCTTACCTGCTACATTGTATGCTTACCTACTACA